AAAAAAAAAAAAAAAAAAAAAAATCAGCCCAAGTAAACTAAAGACAGGAAGGTCGGGCAGTGAGACATTGAGGACCGCCTCCTAGGCGACCTGAACTCGCGCTTGTTGGGTGATGTGCACCCCAGGACACCGCTGGTTCTAGGTGTCACCAGCGCCTCTTGATTGCTGTCTTTCTGAGCACTCTTGTTTCTCCGAACTGGTCCAAAATCAACTGGGTCTGGGAAGAGTCTGGGCCACCTACTTCATTTCGTGTCATTTCTTTCCAGGTTTGAGGACTTGAAGTGAGACGAGCACATTGCTATTGTCTTCACTTGATGGAAACAAAACAGTCCACCCGCCCCAAACCAGATCAAGTAGTTTGGACATCACACAACTGTTAACTTGCGATCTGTTACTTTTCTGCACTCTTCATCACAATGCAGGAAACAATTTGGAGTCAAGACTTTATTTATGAACATTTAAGAAGATGATGTAGTCTGATGGACCTTCTAGGAGAGATTATGTACTGTAATTTTATTTTAATGTATTTTGATTTATGATTATTTATTAGTTTTGTGTGTGTGTGTGTGTTTTAATGCTTGTTCTAAGACATTTCTGAATGTAGGCCATTTCCCAAGAAAGAAACTTTAGGTAAAAAAAAAAACCCTATTCCTTAGGAAGTCCTTCTCTTGGAAAAGAAAAAAGCAAGGTTGGTGGAGGGGAAACATTAAGAATCCATTCATTATTGCTGGAGAGCATTTTCGAAAGGTCGGATACTTTCTTTGTTATGCCAGGTGGTTGAAATTAAATTCTGTGCTGACTGTTTTTTTCTTTAGCAATGTTTCATGTAGAAATTTAAACATGCTAAAGGTTCAGAATTGTGTGTAATTATGAAAATTTAATGCTCAAGATAGTGCTTTTCTAAAATGCTATCAGTAATAATGGTATCCGGCTTCAAAATGCCATTTAAAATATAACCCAAAAGATAGCAGGGTGATCATATCTTGATTATACGATAGGGCTAGGTCTATTGTAGGAAAAGCCTTCTGTGTGGGAGGGGATTGATAAGAGTCCTTTTGACTGTAATTTACAGTATAAATGCATTCATTAGATGTTTTATTTCAAAAAAGTAGTGGGAGGGGAGGGACTAGGGATAGAATCATTCCACATATTTGAGAGAATATCTGTATGTGCCCCAGACTATAATTTTTCTTCAAGAGCAAAAACTTCACACACTTGACTTGAATCACATTTTCTGATCCTTTTACTTTGTTCTAGAAGTACACTGAAGAATCTCATTGTTTAAAATGCGTTTTGTAAATATTTCAAAGGATTAGGAGTCAAAGCTTTTTGTTTCAATACTGAAAATAATGTTGGTCAGGAAGACTGTTTTACTTTTTATTGCCTAGGAGAAATTTGAGGGTTATGTGTTTTGTGTTAGGTTAGCAAAACCTAGAAATTGAAAAAAGAAAGCCTAGATTTAAAAAATGAAAGACCTTGATTTTTCTGTTGGAACACAGCCCCAGTCTTGTTTCAGCAATCTGGGAAAATAAAAGGAGGATGTGCTTTTAAAAGGTGGAACAAATAGTCTTCTGTGTTAAATCAAAATGGTCAAAATCCACAAGGGCAGATGCTACATATGTTTGTAAAGAGCCATAGATGCCACCAACTTCTCATGTGACTGAAAACCACTTCCTAGCTTCATGTTTTTATGAAAGGGCCTCTGGGTTTTCTATTTTTGTTGTGTGTTTTTTTTTCTCTTTCACAAAGGATTGGTCAGGATTTTTCCAGCATTCAATTTGGAACGATCAGTGTTAGGCCAGTAAAAAGTTATATACTTAAGAAATAAAAATAAAATTACAATCTTAAAGATACCTTTATTTTCCCTGTAGCTAGAAAGGACCTTCACTGTCAAATTATTTTTTGGAGCAATATTTAAATGATGAAATTTATTAAGGGAGAAACCAGAACCTAAGCTAATTGACTTCAACATTCATTGACTTCAGGCTGCAGGTTGTTAAAGACACTCTGCAAAGTTTTAAAACTTCATTTGACATATATGATACATCATATGCTGGGCTGCTTAGAGAGCTAGGTGTAAAGGAGACTTCTTAAGTGAAGTTTGGTACAGTTTCCTTAGAGCTACTGCTGTATTTTTGAGGAATGCCTCAGGCATAATACTGTAGTTGTAATACAAGATCATAATAACCCAAATTAAACCACAGTTTTTTCCAGATGAGTGTTTTTCCTTCCAAATTTCTGTGCTTAAAAAAAGAGTAAAACACCATGCCCAATATTTTAAAAATTAAAACTCATGTAGATTCTTAAAAGAGACATTTGTATGGCTTCCTCTTAGCTGCTGAAATTACATTTCCCCTCAGTAACCATGGGTCTTAATTGGACCACCAGAATCTTGGTTACTTGTCTTTCTTCAGCACCTGCTTCTTGGCCAGCTGTGAGGATTATATATTTATGGTGCGTGACCCCTCTTTGTGACCCTAGGTCTGAACCCCTGGGACCTCTGAAAAATAAGGGGAGTAGGATGGTTTTTGCTGTTGTGACATTTGAAAATTACAAGCATGCTTAATAAAACAACATAAATACAAAATGTAAATCATTTACTGTTCAGTGACTATATCTTACTGAAAGGCAATTATGACACCTGCCCCTAACAAACCACCTGAAATGTTAAGAGGCCTGATAAATCAGCTTTAGGAAAAATGGTGAAAAAATTTCTTTCATCCCAAGAAAGAAGCAAGAGGGTAGGTCCAATAAAACAAAACAAAAAACCATCCTTTAAATAAAAATAAAATGTAAAACATTAGAAAATTAAAGGGACCATTCCATTTTGGAAATTGAACTTGTCCTTGAACTTGTGTTGCTACCAAGCCTCCTATTAGTGAATTCAATAACTGTTGGATGAACAATTGGAAAAGGGAATAAAATTGTAACTCCCCAGCAGGTTTGGTCAGTTGGTTTACTTGTTCTCATGTGTCCTCCGAGCACAGATAGTACTTGGGTAGGCTAAGGACTTTGACAAGACTCCTTAAACATGATTTTTTATCATGGAAATCCATATATATTTATGTCAGACTTTAAAGGACTGCTGATGTCAAAGAGTAATGCTTATAAACCCACTGAGTTAATTCAGACTCCTAGCGACATTATAGGGTTTCCATGGCTGTTATCTTTACAGAAGCTGACTGCTACATCTCCCCTGTGAAGCAGCTGGTAGGTTTGAATCAGGGCTTTGAACTGATTTGTTCTGGTTCAACCTGAGGTTGAGAATTTGCATTTCCACCCAAGTATGTATATTGAATCAGGGGAATGTGGTGGTTCTGTAGGATAAGCACTGGACTGAGAATCCTAAAGTTAGCAGTTAGAACCCACCAGACACTACAAGAGAAGGAAAGGGCTTTCTGCTCCCGCAAAGATTTATAGTTTCAGAAACCCTATATACAAGGTCATTATGACAAGGAACTGACTCGATGGCTATTAACAACATACTGAATCAGAATCTACAGTTTAACAAGATCCTCAGCTTGTAGGCTGTAGTTCTCCAGGTTGTAGGCTGTAAAGATACTCTGCAAAATTTAAACTCTTACTCATACTTACACATAAGAATCGTGATGGGGGTGAAAAACACCCCTTATACATCACTTGATTAAAAGGAGTTTCTTTCACCTGTGAACATTGTTAGGCTAACAAGCCAAGCTAAGTTGAAAGGCCTGTTTTAACTCTTCTCTGCTATCATATAACAAATATATTTATCATGCATATTTCTCTTCAAGATCCCCAGTTTTAAATCTGACACTAAAATTGCTACCAGTGTGTGAGTTCAAACACATTGCTTGCTTTCTGTTCCCAGGGAAAGCCGCTTGAGTCTAGCTTGGCTCCAGGTGTTTACAATACCACTTAAGTAGCGGGCTTAGAAGAGGCATCTAAGAGTTGCGGGAAGCCTGGAGCAATCTTATACAATTAGAGCTTTGTGGGATGAAAATAAGCCTTTGAACAGTGGTTCCCCACTCCCCCTTTTCCTGTAAATATCAAATGAATTGTTTATTACTCTACCAATAAGATATTCTCAGTAGAATGAATTTTAAATCTGGAAGTTACAGAGATCAGTGTTTAATTCACTAGTGATTCAAGAGAAATGCACCTATGTATCTAAACCAACCTAAGATGTAATCATTGTGGAATTTTGTTGAATGAGTTTTAAAACACTTTCTAAATTCTTGACATTTTTGCAGGGGGACTTTTTGATTTTCAGATTTACATCAGATTGGGTGGGAAAGTGGTCTGCAACTTTGTTTAGACATTTTCCAAAAGGGAGTGAGTGTAGTAGGATCAAACAGTTTTCTTAGGATAATGATGTTCAATACAGGAAACAGATGGGTTTTGGGTCATTGGGAACATTTGTATAAGCTCTGGTAGAGCTTGCTACTCAGTACCCTCAAGTTGCTGTGGTGGCGATCTGTTGGACAGTAAGAAAGCAGGTTTTGACAATGGTAAGTGCCGTCGAGTTGATTCTGATTCATAGCAACTGTGTATAGGGTTTCCAAGGAGCAGCTTGTGGGTTTGAACAGTGTCACGCCAGTCAATAGGTTGTCTTTAAAACAACAGTATTTATTTTGAGATGAAAAGTAAAACAATTGTCTGTTACATTCTGCAGTTAGCCTTCTGATTAAATTTTCAGAATATGCGAATACAAACTTCCGAAAATACCACCACATACCAAATGCTTTACAAACTGTCACATTTGTGAAGTTAATAGTGTGGTCATAATTTGTATAAATATGCCACTGTAATGACTTTGGAGAGATGTATTTATTTTTCATGTTTTCAAAATGCATTCCATTTCAAATAAAGTATCTATTGAGACGCTCTTGGAGAGTTGAAGGAATTGTTCACCTGGCACATACATTCTGTGTTCCTCTGGGAAAAAAGGTCCTAAAGTGTTTGACCGTCAAGGCCAGGACTATTATGGGAAGAAAAAGACCATTTGTAAGATTAGGTTTTCAGTTTCAAAAAAATTCACCTGATAATTTTGAACATAGAAGGTCATTTGGTGAAATAATAACCTTTCAGAATGCTAATGCATTTGAGCTGAACTTCTACAGTGCCGCAGAGAAAGCTACAAGCCTAGTGAATTGACTTGGCAGCAGTTCCCTCTTGGGTTCCAGATAGAGATTCCAGTCCTCCTAGGTTTCTTGAAGGAGCCCTCATGGCTCAGTGGGTTAAACACTGGACTGCTAACTCACTGGTTCAAACTCACCAACCTCTCTGCAGAAGAAAGATGAGGGAGT